TCTATAATAAACAGGCTCGCCTGAAATATGCACCGTAACCAATTACAATGTAAAAGTATTATGAAGCCAAAACGAAACTTTGCATGTGCTCAAGTGACCGGTAGATATTATAGAAGCTTGCACATGTTATTTTAGACAAACTGATCTTTATACTGGCGTTGCACTGTAGACTCAAATAACATGGCGTATGGAGAAGAGCGCCGATTCTCTAACCCGTAAAACAGCATATTACAACATTGATGAAAAGGGCAGCTCATTGTATCCCCATCGGGGCGAACTAATTAATTTAAAGAAAAGCAGCCGTTTCGGAGCACGGTGCAGTATAACGAGGCGACACAATGTGACACAAAAACGATCATCTGCATACAAAGAGGGCCCCGCACAATGAAACTATTAACTTGTGTACAAGAACGACGACGACGTCTCTTTTAGCACAATGAAACTGGATCGTTTTGTACCCATATTGCTGCTGTAAAGCTATCGCGTTTTTGAGCTTGTTTAATTATGCAAAATGTGCCCAAAAGCACCATATTAGCTCCGTATCTAACGGTCGATGGACGGCACTAAACTCGTGCTTCCAGCCACTTCCCGCACCAGACAACAAACTAATCATAATATTTCCTGCAGTCCCGTCTAAAAGTCTAAATCACTCAGCCCTGATACCAAGCATATTTCCGCAACCCAGCAAATTAAATTTTCCCCGCATAAATCGTCCAGTTTTGACAATGCGCTTTTTATCTTCCCCTTTCTATTGTATTAAGTTTGAATTATGTGACTCCCCACATAAAACATGCCCTAATTGGTCTTCGACTGCTTGGCTTCTCTAGATGAAGAATCGATCTTTTCGAATTTTTCCAGTCCAACTAGATAAGATGCAACAGTGAATGGGCCAGCAGGAGGTTAGTTGGGTCTTCTGACGGCAGGACGCTGCAAATTGGATAGACAGCTTCTATCGGCGGGAACAGCAAAGAAGCGGCTTTGCAAAGGATTTGGCGTAGAGTTTCAGCCTGTTGTTGGACAAGGCCTCTATACCTACTCAAAGAAAAATGAGAAATCGAACGACATTGCATCAAGTGCATTTTAAGCGCCCGCCAACTCCTTTGGACTAAGAACCTCAATTTTGAATCACTGAATAATATAATTTTTCTTCTTCAAGCCAATTTTTTGTTGCGTCTTCGTTCTTTTGCTTATTGAGACCACCGTGCCATTTATTACTTGATTATACAAGCTGATTTGTTCATTGTTGCTACATTCATTTACCCGAAAAGTGGAAACTGCAGAAATGGAGGGCAAACCGAATGAACCATTCACATAGTTTGAGGGCACGACTGACACGGAAATCAAATTGTCTTGCCGAAAGCAGCAACTAGCTTCCCTACTCACTTTCCTCTTATTTCATTACTCTTTTATCTCTCGTACAAAGCAATATTTTGATTGCCAATTTCCCTTCGTTTCGATAGTTGGTCGATTCTAGAGCAGTTCTCCCATTTTGCCAGGTTTCTATTTCTTACTTTGATGCGATTATGGACTTGCTAAATATTGGCGCAACTCCTTTTTCTGTGCAACTTTGTCCAAGAGCCCCTGAAATGCTTTTCCACCTGCCAGTAGGCACGTGCAGGCCACTTCAACAATCTAACAGATGCAGTACACTTGGATTAAAAAAAAGAACCAAAATGAAGTGAAATTATGCCCGAGAGAAACCATAGAACCTTTTTATATATGGAAAATTTGGAGACAGCATGCCCGAATGCAAACAGCCTCAAGTTACATGCAAAGAAGTTTGAATGCGGAAACCGAAAACTCTTACATGACATCGTGCAGTTACGTAAAAAAATGAATAAAAATTAGGCGCAACGTCGGCTCCACTTGTGAGGTCAAATGGGGTTAAGCCTTCCACTTGAGACGGTGTGTGGAGAGGCAAATTCGAGGCAAAACGCCTAGATTTTTCCCTGGCCTTGTTTTCTATTAATTGTCGATTCGGTGAAGGAAAATTCTGCGGAGCGACCAAACTGGTTGGACCAATTAGAAATTCAAATTTCATAAACGTAAAAGCCGAAAACTAAGCCGGGAGAGGGCGTCTAAAATCAACACGAATCCCAACTTGGGTTGCTGCAATCTCTGCAGAGGATTATGTTGAAAGCCACATTCTAATGGATTCTGCCCAGATTTGAATTATCTAAACTAATTTCGGGGATTTAGTTGCACGGTCAGAATGGAGACATTTCAACGACAATATCGGCTACCAGCAGCTTTTTTCGACATGGTAAAACACCAGCAGATTGCTGATAGTGAAATTCACTTTATTCCTCACGGAGGTGCAAATTCCCACCTCTTTTGAAATGGAAATTTCGCAGTTTTGTATGCGAAATATCCGAGTGATTGGAAGTAGCGCAGTTGAGGGCCGGAAAACACTGAAAAATTCAGGTTGGGGAAGCATGCTTTGAATATACGGTGATTTTCAATTATTCCGAGGAAGTTAACGGGCTGTTCCAGGTTCTTTGAATGGTTAATACGCAATAGAAAAGTGTTGTTTTCACTGTTTTCGCCGAGGAGATTGACAAACAATCGGGTAGCACGTTTACATGATTTTTTAAGGACTGCAGGGTATACCGCTTGACAAATACAGGGTGATTCAAAATTGATTTTCTTTTTCATTTTCAAGGGTCATAGGGGCTGCTTGGAGAGCATAAGAAAATTATTTCCACAGTTCAGTAAAAAATTGACAAATAAATCAGAACATTATGCATTGTTTCTCATGCCCTCTCCATCCAGTGGATTTTCACATGTACTGTGCAAATTCCACATCTTCGTCTAGTGCAGTATTAGTTTCAATATCAAGTCGGGTTTCAATTGAATTCGTCGTTAAATTCCCCTGCAGTGCAATATCATGGCGATCAAGTTGCTGTGTGACCAAAATGACACTTGATGTTGTTAATGGATAGCAAAAGTTGCCCATTATCAAGACGAGATCGCGCACGCAAACGGCTATTTAATGTCGAATTCCCAATGAGAAAATTCCGCTCAAACAAACTAAACTTCCTAATTGATTTTGGACTTATTTTGTAGCCTAATTGGACTGTCCTATCGATTTGCTTGATCAACATGCCTTTTTCGCCGTGACTAATGGGCAATAATTAGACTATGATGTGCAGATTTTCGTTAATATGGCAAGAGCTATGGAAATTTCGAGTTAATTCGGAAATATGGCCGTTGAAACGTATGGTAATTTCAGCGAGCGTATACATTTGCACCAATACGCGAGAGATCAATTAGGACATTTGCATAGCTTAGTTCATACGGGGTGTAACATTGGTATGTTGGCAAAGTTTGCAAAAATACATAATAAAATGCAAACACTCTTCCTGACTTTGGCTGTTTAATTAAAAGACGAAAAACTGCCGCTGCAATTAAATCGTTGAACTTGCAGTGAATCGGCCTACCCGAATTTTCATCGGAACGAAAATATTCTTTAAAAGCAATGTTTTATTTATTTATTTTTCCAATTTGAGCCCTCATTATAAACTGCATGGCTTTGACTCTTCGGGCTTTTAATTATCTTCATTAGCAAATAGTTTACTCTAGTTGGGACATAATTCAAATTAGTCGCGACCGAAACAGTCACTTTCGCGACTGCTAATCCGATTCATTTGCAACTGTTATTACGAAAATGTTTCGTCGAGTTACTTTGTTTTTCTTCAAAAAAATTGAAGATTTCATTTCGTTTCTGGGTCAAGCCGAATTTTACTGTAAGGAGTAGGTTTCAAGTTTTGCGTCTCGCTACTGGACACTGAAAGTGCTTCTCAACATGTGCGCCAAAAACACTCAAAATTTTTCCTTATTTGCCCCCTATTTAGTTAATTACACGTCGGCTTTGTGCAGTGTTGCATAAGCAGGCACCTGCTGCTGCTCACAGCGTTTCGGATGGAGTTCTGGAAGTGTGAAGAGCGTGCAGGAAATCGCATTACTCCAATTCGAATTGCCAGTGCGTTTCGAATGCCATCACAAACAAACACCCTTTAATGTGCCAGTTGTAATTTCGGCTTTTCTGGATTTATTGACTCGATTCGTCTGCGCCCTCTCAGGAAAATCCTGCCGGATAAACCGTTGATGAAGCTCAGTCTTAACGGTTTTTAGGGAGTCTGTTTTGTCATTAAAAATTCCGTATTGCCGCCGGTTCCTTTCCGCTTTTCGTCAAAACTTCTTTCAACTCGCTACATGCGCTCCAACTTTTTCGTGACTACAATGGATTCGTAAACGGGTCGAATCAAAAATGTATGAGCAACTGATGGCAATTTAGATAGCTGTATCTGGTATAATTGCTGTTTTTCCTCACCTTTATGTGTTTCTTGCGGCTGTAAAAACTTCTTAAAGACTCTGGTGTTATCTTTGAGATTCCTATTAAAAGTCTCAGAGGCCCGTTCACTGTGGTTTCGTCGAGGGGAGAAAATCGCTATTGGAACAAACTTTTTAAACGTTTTTCAGTCGACCGTTTCCGTGGCCTCGTCAGGTAAATTGAATTAAGCTAGAAACATAATTAAATGTCGGGACCCTGGCAAACTCTTCTCATTTTCCACAAATGGAAATCGATATTCGGGCATTAAAATAAAATACCATAAAACTAGACAAAAACCGATTCGAAATTGCCGTTTCAAGTTGGCGAGCGATTGTACAAAGGGCCAAAAGGAAAATCCCATTTGAAAAATATTATTTTATTCCATCGGACTGAAAAAGGCGATTAAAAATAATCGGTAAAGCTCTTTGAGAATTATCTTTCCGCTTTTCGTGTCGATTTTCAAGCAGGATAAAGTGGGTCGCGGTTTTTTTCCTGCCACTGACTCTATCAGCATGTTTTCTTGTTTCATAACGAGCGACTACAGCAGGTTTTAATTGAAACTGAGCTTTGTCTTCAAGTCAAGAAGTCTGTTGTTTTCAAGAGCTCTCAAAGAATAGAACTCTGTTCCTTGCAAGATTTTTGCCTAAAAAAACAATTGCTCTTTCAGGAGGGTGAACGAGGCTACCTGGAAGGTTTAGCGTCCCGATATGCTGATCTCTTTTCCACTCATTACGGCGACGTTTTCGGCCACCTTGAGGATCTGCGCAAAGCTGAAGTGGCCGAAACGTCGCCCAAAGAGCGCATCCAGCCGATTCTGGAAAACAACAGCATCATTTGCAATAACATCAGCCCCGGCATGACCGCCTCTCATAGCCAGCCTATTTACGTTCCTGGGAAATATTTGGTAAGGCTTTAGTTAGTAGATGTTTCGAGCATATGTGTTTTATTGGCATTTTCCAGCCCTCAAGTTGCCTGTCCCACAAAGACGAAGACGAAATCTACGGATTTGCTGGCACAGTATTCAAGCCCACCCAAATCGCGATTCCTCAGCAACCGCAAAGAATAATCGGCGCCCACATGACACAGCCGTTGCTATCCCAGCAACAGCACAATTACCAAACGTAAGTCGTCGTCCATTGAAAAATAAGGAAATTAATCCAATTCAAATCGCTTTCAAAACTCAAGTGATATTCGATTCCGATCCAACTATCTGGTATTTGCCGAAGGATCGACCAGAAGCGAAAAACAGGGCGCTTGACTCTGACCGAGAAGTAAAGTTTCCCATTATCGGATTCGAGAGTTTTCCCAACTTTGTTTACAGTGGCTAAAAGTATTTGAACGGTCACAATTCCTGCTCGAAGAAGTTGAAAAATCAGATTGAAAAACGACGACTTTTCCAGAAACTTATTGTTCGATAGCGGGTACGGTTTCGCAGGTTTTTTCACTAAATTACACATAAATCCTATTTCTGCTGATTTGGTGTTTTTTCCACGAGAGTTGCAAAAAATAGCAAAAACATGCACTATCCAGTCAGGGCAAAGGCTTGCTCTACTCGTGAGCTTTGGAAAGGAAATTTTTGGATATGTTTTCACTTAAAACTCGGCGGTTTTGAATCGAATGGAAAGTTAAATAAAATAAAACATAACTAAACAAAATAAATAGGGCCGAGAGTGCAGAAATTGAAGCCAATAAAATACATCGATCGAATATCTCAATAAAGCCCAAATCGCTTCATTATTCGCCCGGATTTATGGTTCGGCATTATTCGGTTTGAACGTTATCGTATTTAAATATTTGAGTAGTGCCTTTCTGGGGGAAAAATAAGGAACAAAGACCCAGCCGTTTTATGAATTTCAATAACGAAATATTAATTGGGTTTTGTGTCTGTTTCTAGGTGCTTGAGTCCAAGATCCGCCTACTTTTACGAGTTTCCACCAAACGGTAAGTTCCAACTTATTTCTGCTGTTTATAATAAGAGATGAAATCGTAAAGCCTTTCGCTTCCATTGTTTGAAAAAATCATAATTTTTCAGCTTTTAACCCGTCATCGACAGGAATTTAATCCATTTTTAGGCCAATTTTAGCTTACAACTTCACAGGTGTGTTCGCTTCGGCTGCAAACGTCCTTCTGAAAATGTTAGAAAATCTCCAATTTTCCAACTATAATTTAATTGTGCAGGTTACATACATATGTGTGTTTAAGAGTTTAATGTGAATTTCTCATGTCCTTAAATTTTTTCAGCTTGGGTAAATGTGCGTTTTTCTTCTATAGGGTTCCAAGGGCTCCGATCGACTTTTCACCTTTGTCAGCACGCGATCGGCTTAGGGCTGTGCGATTAGTGATTAATAGTCCCACTTTGGAATGTTTATGGACCCGTGAAATATCCCGTGCATATAATCCCCTAAAGCGATATCCATCACAGTGATAGTGGGTGGGGATTATGGGGTTATGGAGAAACAAAGAAAACGACTTTGAAAAAATAGTTCAAAAAGGCCCTAAATTCCTTGCCAAACAAGTGGCAAATTTTTCAAATATAAAGCAATTTAGCTAGTTGAACGGTAGTATCGATGCCGGCGATGAAAACAGTACGTATTTCATGGAAGAAAGGAATTCGGTCTAAAGTCTTCGGATTTATCGTCGGAAAATATTTGTTTAGGCCACAATACACGCGGTTATGGAAATTCAGCCTTGTGTGGCTGCTAAATTGTTTTTTAAAGGTAAACAGATGTCTTTTCCGTGTTTTATGGCGGAGTTTCGGGTTTTATTGGGGCAACGGGGATTTAATTTTGTTTGCCAGTCACGGGTTAAATTCAAATTTGGCGACAGCGCTGAGTAGTGCGTTCAAAAAACGGGCTTCTTCATAAAATCATTTCCCAGTCTAGACAAACATTTAATATCTCTTCTAATCATGCAAAGTTTTCAACTGACAATAGACCCAACTTTGAACTCTGTTTATTGAACAGAAAGCCCCTTCAACTACATACTTAATCTCTTATATTGTCTCCACTCTGTAAAGAGTGTTATTGCTAGCTCGCTCTCAATTAAATGAGCCTCCATATAACTCTATCGTCAACCAGGAGCGCAAAAATTAATTATTTCTTTCCGGAGCCGTCGTCCCGGACTAAATTAAGCGTATCTCTGACAAGGCTTTCTCGATTTATGGCACAATTTTAGGGGGTGTAAAGTGAAGCCATAAAAGTTGCCTTTAGAGCTAGATTAATGTCTGTCTTCGGGCTGTATATTTTTCATAGCGGTTTTGTGTTAAAATGTTTTTGGACATCGGCTTTGAGCGGCTTCTGTTACTCCACCACCTTAACCCACTTTCTGACGGTTTGAAAGAAACAAACTAGCACCTCTTTGATGATTCTAAACGCTTTCAGCTGCTAGAAGTTGCGTTATGCATCATCGTCTGTACCGCTGTAAAAAAGCAATTAACGAATATGTGTATGTATGTACAAAAGTGCAGACGCGGCGACAATTTAAACCATGCCGAGTTTTTGCCGCCCTTTTATCATTTCCCCGGCCCATGGGCGTATCTACCGAAAATCAATTTTCTCTCGTGACATTCAGTGTTTTATTCGTTTTAATAACTCCTGCTGCTTTATTTGGTAATTAGTCCAATTTTAGCTTTTAAGCGCTCCTCCTCTTTAGCAACAGCAACATTTTTGATATGCAATGACAATAATCTTTGATATTCCAATGTTCATTAGCACACTTTCATGGCAGAAATATGTGCTTTACAACAATGATTCATTAAAAAACAAAAAGTCCCGTGCTGCACCTGTGGCTTCACTGATTCAGGCAGAGTAAACTGCTCGAAATTCCCCAAATATCATTTTCAACCTTATCAGTTCGGCAATAAATTACACATGTAGGTTTTCCCTATATTGCCTCAGGGACTCAAAGTTTTCCATAGGCAGCTATGTTTTATTTTCAACTGCAAAGTTCAATAATAGTTCATTAATAATGCACAGTTTTACTCGCATAAAGTTTAGCGAGTTTTAGGCAAACATTTCAAGCGCCCTGGCCAGCACGTTCTCCCGATTTAGCCTCGCTTAATTTATGATTAAATAAAACAAATTCAAGTTACTACTTTAAAGAAAAGGCATTAAATATCACTTTAAATAATGCAGCTTTGGATTATCGATCCATTCATTTTATTGGAGTTTTGGTTCATCTAAGAAGCATTGGACAGACATAATTTTTTTTGAAATGTGGCTGTTCTTGTGTTAGTGGACATTTCGCGCACTTCTCGATTTTCCCCGGCACTGGAAAATCCGGAAATCCACTACAGGTTGAAACGCGGAGACTCCGTATCTCGAACAATGGCACAGAAAGCAACGTGTGTCGCCTTGTCGAACCGAAAAAATCGGCTTCCCGCTTTTCCTGAAAGGTCGTTGAACGTGTAGACGAAAACATTGACAACTAGATGGGTGCAGATTTCCTAATAGAAACTTCGCCACTATGAGAAAAGCACGGACATTTCATGGACTTTCCTTTGCGGAAGCGGATATAAAACTGCATCTTCCACGAAAATCTAACCCTAACGTATGTATCACCATATTAAGTAGTTCACTTAGTTAACGAAACACTTTCTTGAATAGCTTCTCCAGGCGTAATGCCGGGTTTCTCTCCAAGAACACTTAACTCTCGGCGAAAGTTTCACAATGGGAATATTAGTCGGTGCATGTGAAATTAGTGATATTCGCTTTAGTTTGTCAAGCCATAATGTTAATATGACGAAGTTTAACGCTTTAAACTCCTGGGGAAATCACTGGCTGGTTGTAAAGACGGCCATTTAAAATGCACCTCTATCGCAATCCCACTCAAACCGCCAACTCCCGACTTTTTAACTCTGTCAACATAGACTACATGTTTCGATTCAGGTTCAAAATAGACTCTGCAAGCACTAATCGTATTATCTGGATAAATCGCTTTCGGAATCCGAGTTTATCGCAAAGTATCTGACTCCTTCCTTCTAACTAGCGCCATAATTGTGTTAAAGCGTTCTTGTACTTCGGTAACTTAAACTTGTCTAACTTTGTCTAACTCAACTTGCCAGTATTGATCTTTCATTTGCTTTGTAGATAGTTGAACATCAGACTTCCCGTATAATTTGGCAATAAGCAATTTAATGAAATCGGGCCTTGGGTGCTTGAGGAAATGAATAGCAGCTTTTATACATATAGGATCGTTTCTCGCAGCAAAAACAATTGTCGCTTTGGATGTGCTGTTAAACGTGCACAAAGCTTGATAATTTCGCCCTTTAAACTCCAAAGTATCGATAGAATTTAAAGTCCCGAGATTAAATCCAAATAATCCTGGGAATATAAACAGCAATTTCATTGCGCTTTATGCCCAATAACTTTCTGTTTGTCCCGTATAATATTAAGTAAACATCGACCTACGTAGACGGTGCCATAAAAACCTACACCTTGAGAAAACCGCTTCTTTGATAAATAATTCAATATTATTTTACTTCCTATATCGCTGAATTTTCCGGCGTTGCGATCAATGATTCCGCTTTCCGATAGAGTTTTACCTTTCCGATTGCCATTTAGTGAGGTAATTTTATACGAACGAGTTTTTCAACTTGAAAAGTTAAATCTTAATCATTTCTGTGGTTTTTCAAATTCCCCATCCAGACGCTGCAAAAGCGCGGTTAGAATTTCCATTAGCAACATTGCTGTTGGGTTTGGAATGAAGAAATACAAGAAAACCAATTCTAGCTGAAAAATTCTCATTTTAACCAATAACTATTTGCAATTGGTTGTATTTAACAGTCTAGAAAACTGATGAAAGTACAGGGTGAATGTTGTTTCAGAACACGGCTATGCGAATACAACGAAGAAGAAAAATACCTTTTCTCGGATCCAGAGGATATTCAAAACATCACATAGAAAAGAAAAGCATGGCGGTAGTTCTCCGAGGCATGGTCGGGCCACAACCACCAAAGGGCTGCCACAAAGGGTAAGTTTTCCAGACTGTGTACTCAAAAAACCTCCGGATGTGACCAAAAACCAATTTCTTGGGTAAACTTCAGATCACTAATTCGTTTCTTTCACTATTCCATCCCACTTAATCTAAACGATGACTATTATCGCCGACGAAATGAAATAAAGGGCACGCGGCTATTGATGTGGCATCAGATGGGCTATTTCGGACCATTTCCCCCCCATTTTCCGGGCTTTTCAGGGAAATTACCGAACATTAACGATAATTTTCCCGAGTGAGACGATTTTCTTCCGAAGAACTTTGGCGGATAAATTAAGCGAGCGAAATCCCACCCTTTCCAAAGTGTAAATGGAACTTATTTGCATCGCCTAACAACATGCTATGACTGTGTTATTATAAAGTCAGGCACGGACTTGATTCTTCAAAGATTGGAAAAATCACGAGCTTTCGGTTATAGTCAAGGTAAATTCGTCAATGAGCCTGCAACATTATGGAAGCTTTCTAATAATGCTGATAATTGTCTTCAGAAAAAAACGTCTGCGTCAATTACCAAGCTTTGGAAAATATGTTTTTCCTTTTCCTGGGTTTAACTCGTTTGTTTCGTTTTGTGCAAAGAAACACTGAACAAACGACATACACCCTGAAAAAAAAACTCTCTCAGAAGTTTTTTTTGCTGAAGACCACAACAGATCAATTTCCAATATTTTCAACTTCTTACTGAAAATACATTCTGAAGTTACCTGTAAGACTTGAAACTTTCAGAATTGTCTCATGTTCTCTTGTGAATTTCTACTATCAAAATTGAGTTGTTGTTGTTGCTTTTAACCGAAATGTTGGAAACTTTTCGATCGAAAATATCATCAGGGTCAGGCTGTATTGGACCCAAAAAAACTTCTGAGTGAATTACCGAGCTTTCGGAAAATTAAATTCTTTCTTCTGCGTATAACTCGTGCGTTTCGTGTTAGTGTGAAGAAAGCGAACAAACGGTTTAAACCTTGAAGAAGAAATTACATTTTCCGAAAACTTGGAAGAAGTTTTCCAGAAGAAAGAAGCAATCCACCTTTAACGGAGTTTCTAATGAAATTCTATGCCGCGCTTTGTTTGTCTGATCCAACAACCATCCCGAACGCAACACCCGGTACATATAACATATAAAAGAACCTTGGCAAGTAAATATTTAAACTCAATATTGTAAAAATTCGTCCCTGTGCTCTGTACAGCCGAATCCAGGCCGCAATATCAGTTCAACACTCTAGTTCTATTCTATTCCATTCTGTAGACATAGTGTGCGGTGTGGGGGGCGGTGGAGGGAGGGATGGGCAATAAAAGTAAATCTTTTTCAGAAGCTCGCTCCGCAAGTTTGGCTATTTAGGGAATTTAACTATGCAAAATGACGGTTGCGAAAGAGGGGCCCTTTTAAAGGCCCTTTGGCTTGTTTATGGGCAGCTTTGCCGCAAAATGGTCCAGAAAATTCCGCCGGAATTTCCTCGAGGCGCTTTGTTACACTGTTTGTTCTTGCTTGCAAGATTGTTTGTGTGTTATTGGTTTATGTGTTGTATGGGTAAAATGCAAGCGGTGATCGTCCGATGATTTTTCGTGGCTGGTAAACGCCAAAGCGACCAAATGAGTTTATATTACTCCATTACAACCATATCGGTGGCAAGTTTTTTCTGTTAATACCAGCATCGTTCGCAAATTAATAGCAGAAAACCGATACATTTCAGCCGGAAAAAAGAGTTATTTTAACATTGACGACAAAATTCGCTTGAATGCGAATTCTGATTTATCAATTTTGATCACAAATATTTGGCTGTGTAGCTTTTTAATCAAAAAATTAAAAAATCTGTCGACTTTTTAAAATAACGCCTTATAGGTCCTTATGGAATAGTTGGGCTTTTGGAGTTTGGCACGAAAAAATATTTACGCAAATGAAGAACTTTACAAATGACAAATTCATAATGACTTTTAATATTTAACCAGAAACCCAACAAAATCCCTAAAATTTCGCATCGGTTATTAATACTAATTATAGCCGATATTGAAAACTCATTACGCAGGCAAAAACTGTGTAATTTATTCGGAAAGGCTCGCGAGCGCTTTGATGTTGACATTAAAGCTGATATTATTTTATATTAAAATTGAAAATCGAACCGGTCGAAAAACGAAAAATTAGATTTGGATTCGACATAATGCCGGTAGCAGTGAATGGACTGGGTTAAAACTTCAACCCATGGACCTGCAACCATTAAAGTAGAACCCAGTGGAATGGAAATTAATTTGATAAACTCCGGGCAACACACAGAAATAATTAAAAGAATAAAGGCTGGGATTTAATCAGCTTTATAAAGAGACTGCAAACAGGCAAAGAGAAGACAAACAAGTAAACAGCGGTGGTGGTGGCGCGAATTCCATTTTATGCAAAAATTAGCCTGCTTAGAACTCCCTGTAGTTTAGCGCTCGTCTATTTGTATTTCACGTACGATAATTCCCAAATATAACTCACTACTAGGAACAAAAACAACCCTCCACATCGGCAATAAAACATGCAAATTTTCGTCTATTTGCCCCTTCGCGCTCGAACGACTCGGAAAATTTGCACCCCCCGGTTTTACTGCCGAGTTTTTTCCTTAAATTCCAGTAGTTGTTTGTCTCCTGAATGCCCTTTTTGCCCTTTCTTTTTATTAGATCCAATAAATAGCTGAGGGTCGGCGACTCGCATCTTGGTTAAGTTAACCGGATTAATTTTTGCTGTCCAAAAAATATCTAAGCCAATCTGCTATTAAGCCAAATACATTTTTGAAGAAGACTTGAACAATTTTGTGAGTTGCAGACAGGACTGAAAAAGCTTTGAAACTAAAAATTTTTAAATTCAGTTTTACCTTCTAAGGTCACTTTTCAGCTACTTGTTCGGGCAAAACATTTTTAAATATTGTCTCGTCCAAAAGCTGGTTTGGAACTGGATCAAAACTACCTTTTCCTCAAAAAAGGGCCATTTTCCTACACTTTACTCAAGGCCATTTTTTATACAAAAATAGCTTCGATAAACACCTGAATATCTGATATTTTTTCTAAACAAAAATAGTTCCAATCGAGGTCCAAATCCCCCCGCTATCAGGACAGACAATATTTGGAAAATCTTCTACCTGAACGACTTGCTGAAAAGTGAGCTTAGAGGCCAAAACGCGAACAAAAATAACGAAAATTCGGGAATAAAATGTAAATTCTGAAAATGTTGTGAAACATAAATGCGAGAATTGGCTGGTGAAACGTAATTTTGTAATTTTCGAGGACTGTCCGCAGCAAAACAATTGGATTAACCTCAGCAGCGCCATGGACACGGTTTTGACAAAAAGATGGAAATTATACAGTATTTTCAGATTAATTGGTTTTGGTTTTTAGCAATTAAAGCTTCATGTTCCTGTTGAAATGCGTGTTTCTATACCTAATCAACGTAATCTATTATTAACGCGTTGGAAATAAGTCCTCAAAAAGAACTCGGAGAACAAGGCACACTTTAGCGCCAGGAGGTTTTTCCGGTTCGTTTTATTTTTTCGCTGGGAATCCGACTAAAAGCATAAAATTGCACCGTTCGCTGCATTTCGGCTGTCGATCTTTTTTTCATGTTTTACCTTAGTTTTAATGAATCCGCACCTTTAGCACGTAACGAGTGAGCTGTCGAGGACCGCCGAAATCGTGATTAAAACTTCTTTTGCAAAGGGACTCATTTCGGTAATAGCGAAGACTTTTAACGCGACCTGGCTCCTTTACTCTAAACCGTGGCCCGGATTTTATCAAAAAAATGTACAAAAAAGCCGAAGCGCGATCTGGGAGCAAAGAAGTTCATAGAGAACGGTAAATTAAAGATGAATTTCGTGATTTCCCTAATAGAAAATGAAATTACTTTGCTTTGAAGACATAAGTGAAATGAACTTGAAGATTTGAATTCAATGCTCATTGAACTGAAATTGGATAATTGAATGCAAGCAACTCACTTTAGGCTTATTCAGCAATTTTTCCAAGACAGCAACTTTCCATTACCGATAACCCTGCAAATCCTCCACTTTTACCGTATGCTTGCAGCTCTATAAATGCATACGGTCCAAGTAACGGCTTCTAAAGCACTAGAGATCGGAAATGTGGCTCTATTGTCAAAAAATGCCTTTATCTAAAGTCGTTTGAAGCATGCACGACAGCGCAGAATGGAAAAAAGAAACCTAAAGCTTTGCATTTTAATTTGCAAACTTTTCGGCGATTGCCTACCACTGAGCCTCTGGCATTATTTACCGTCCCTATTGTTTCATTTCGTAAAAAATAACTCATACTCATGCAGATCAGGTTATTGTAACAATTTTTAGATATTTCATGCATGAAAGTGGTTGATACCGCAAGCAGCTCTTCTTTTCCCAGCCAAATTCCTCAACGCTCCAATTTCAAACTGTGCGGTAGCGAAGCTCTAAGCTCATTTTAAAATTTCCAACATTTTTACGACGCTCCGTCAACTTGAAAGCCATGGAAATAAGGGTTAAGTGTCAATCACTTCCCCAACAAATGGCTTAAACGTCTCAAGAATATTGCGTGTTTTGCCGGATAAACTCGATGGTTTACGGATCGGAAATATTCCTCGAACAAGGACGCTTTGCTGGGCTGAGAACAGGAAAACGAGTAGTGGGCAGCAGCTTGACGAAAATACGGTGATTGAATTTTTTTGACCAAAGCAGCAAATTCATTTGCTTGAGTTTGCTCGGGCTTTTTTGGGGAAAATTGATGGAAAAATTGGCAATTTTTGATAATGGAAAATTGCGGTTGACAAATAACGCACGGTTTTTAATTGCCAATCGACTGCTGCGTATGTACAGGGTGATTCAGACATATAGGATCAAATTTCTAGAGATTGTCCGTGGTTAAATGCCTTCTATTGTTGCACTCAACAGACCGTATAAGATTGTATGAAACAATTTCGTAATCAATAACAGATGCTTAGAGGAAGGCCGCCAACAGAATGGGAATAGCAGAAGTAATTTTATTATTTAAGAAGGGCGAGAACAAAGACATTTAAAACTACCGTCCGATAACTCTTACCTATCTTACTTATCAAAAATATACAAACTATTCGCAAAAATATTAACCAACAGACTAACACTTAACTTTGATCTGGACCAACCAGTGCAACAGGCAGGCGTTCGAGGGGTTTTGACACTTCTTATAGAAAAGACCAACGAATATAACGTCTTTATAGACAGGTTTTGTGGTAAAAGCTAAATCCAAAAATATGTTTTTACAAACATTCTATAAAACAGTGAAAACTCAAATACGTAGTAAATAAATACTGCTGCACAGAACACTTTAATTAGTATCTGGTCAATATCCCTTGATGTGTAAACGCTAAAATTCTTCAATCCTTGCGAAGAATAATTATTAGTTGGAGCACTGCATGGAAATATAGTCAATCTTTTAACTTTATAATAATTATTTTTACTATTAAATTAATTTTATTTAATTTTACGCTTTATTTAAAGGCAAGTCTTGCAAACCCCTTGCTGCAGGGACCACGACTTTACGTAGGTACAAGAACAAGAGAAAATTTGCACTTTTTTTCCAAAATTTATGCGGTTTTTGCAAAATCCTCATCCTCAAGAGTTATACACATAAATTATGCTAATCCTACCTTGAGTTGCAGCAGTTAGTAGTCTGGTGATCCGGATTTCCATCGTGAGTTTTGTCTGCGTAAAGAAAGCCGCCGTCTTAAAGTAATTTCATCTCTAAAATGAACAAAATGGCTACTTAGTAAAAAGGTAAATCGGAAACGTCCAACATTAATACATGCAACAGTTTCCCTATCCCTAAACAACTCATATCGAAACGTACCTTAACATGTGTGGAACACTTTTCCGCACAGTTTCTAGCACTTAGTCGACGCGAATTTGGAAACTTTTCGAAAGTTTCTCAAGTTTTTCGAAGGGCTACGCGTACGCGATGTTCCTGCTGAATTCCAAATCGTCTCAATCGGCAACATATTTGACATCGCGACCGGCAGCGGTAAATCATTTTTTTAACATTACCTGCCCTTGAAGCGCTGTACTTTTTCTACTACCATAAGAGAAAACAGGATGACACGACGATAACGCTGTCTAACCCTTGAATATCAAACAAATTGTTTTATATTCAAAGGTGTAGTCTGACGTCACGACGCAGTGCGAAAAATTTACAAAATCTACCTATATTTTTTCAGTTCTACTTAATTTTTGCGTAGAGTTTTTTGTAGGTATTTGGGTTCTGGTTGGTTTTTGTTAGTTTTTGTCTGGAATGTTTAATTGCCTGTTTTTTTTCGAATAATGCAAAGCAGTTAATTCTAGCAAAGCGAAAATTTTAGCAAACTGTTGCAGAATTCCTAGAGCAAATGGCGTGCCCTCTTTTTAATGGAATAATTGCAAACTTTATGAGCGAAAAGTGACCGAAAGCCGCATTTCCCGAAGAAACACCACTAAGAAAAGTTGTTAGCTAAGGAATTTTCTATAAGGCTAGTGTGCTTTAAACTTCAAACCCCAGAGGATGATAGTCTGTGGTTTCTACCCGAAAACTGCTATAACTAAATACTAATAAATAAATTGGAGTCATTGATGGATTTTCTTGAGTTAACTTGCATTTTTCGTAACTAAGAACGTTTAGACGCGCTGTTTAAATGCTTCTCAAGCCTCCAGCGGTTCAATGAGCCTAAACCAGTACGTACTAGACATTAATAATGCAAATTTTAACTGCCTAAATAGGAAAACAAAATTTCTTTTGCAACAGAAAATCCCTGGGGAGGAAGCTACGAATGTTCCATTTTAGACTAAATTGACGGCAATTGAAACTTTTTCTTGTCCTGTTAATGTCCTTTATTGTCGTCTCCATTAAGATCTGCAAAGCTTGATTAACTCTATTACTAATCTTCCGGAGAACCTTTTAAACATTTCACTGCCAAACTAAAGAAGTTAAAATTTCTTTTAATTATTCGATTTCCCGACAAAGACTTTGATCTTCAATATTTACTCGAGTCCGTTGAATTGTGGAAGACAGTGAGCAGCGGACGAGGAAGTCGCTCTCCCGGTTTACTTACGGAAACTTCTTAATTATAAAACGTTTGAAACGGGAAATTTCATAAATTAATTTTGCTGTTTAAGCGGACGAAAATTATACAGCAAGTTTTAGCCGACATTTTTCTTGAATTGAATTATCCGTAGGAAATGGGATCTGGGGGCTGGATGGAAGGTTCAACGTTTTTCGTGGAAAACGCATCCAGTTTCTTTAAGGAAATTTTATTTACTAAGTCAGTGGGACTATACTCGACAGTCTTAGGAAGTACGCGGGCTTATATTTAATTTCTGTCGTTAGGAAAGCGGGAATAAAGGAAAAACTGAACACCGAAGACTTATTATGCCTTTAACGTTAGGGATTTAAATGAAACACAGCACCTGTTCTTAGGACTTGTTAAGTGCATGCTACAATTTCAGTTCAATGCACCCGAAATAGTTAGTTTCTTCAAATCTTATGGATAAATCCTAATTTCCTGTTAAATTCCATCTTGAAAGTTCGGTGCCTGTTATGAAAACCTGCAGCGTTTTAATTATTATATCCTCTCGATGGGTGAGTTTTTAATTAAAGATCGAAGCTGGGTAATTAAGAGTTGAGCGACTTCACATTGGACTTTGTATGGATCACTGGAAAAATGTGACCAATGTTCTGATCCGAAACCCCGGTTGAGATTACGCCGGAGGATTTTTTCCGTTCTATTCGGTTCAAGACTAGACAGGCTGATTAAAACTTTTAGAACGATTTTTAATAATGATAATAGCTGCGCTTTGTCCTCAGCGACTTTTTAATCTATAATAAGCCTTTCGGCACCGAGAAGATACCAAAGTAGCAGCCGAACATCCCTTTGTGGTCTTAATTAGAATTTTTAGAAAGGTTGCAGTGGGAAATTGTCGAAGCATTAATCCCGGATAATGATAAGGACAAGTCCAATTCCAAGCCGAACGGAAGCAGCATAATCAGGTTACGTTTTTCTTTTCCATTGACGTCCGGCTTTTTCCCATCGATTGTTTGGTTTTTAGTACACGTGCTTTTTTAACGACAATGCCATTTCTCCAATCGCGTTTATTTCAAACGGGCTATAAATAATTAAAATGTTCATGGATGCACCCTGAAAATAATGGCCCCTTTATACTTCGTTCCGAATATAAATGCATTTTAAATGCGTATAGAGGTTGTTTTGAGGAGCGTTTTCCGTCGCTTTCATATTTTGGCATGATGGGGAAAATGTTGTTGACAAAACGGCTTTTTGCGCTTTTATGAATACGCGATCGGTCTGCGGATAATGCAATCAATAAATGGTCATCAAAAAACACAAAAAATGTGCTCTATTTCCTAACACTTTTAGAAAATGTGTTAGAGGCACGAGGTAAATTGAGCAAATGCATATTTACTCGGTTTCTGTTACCGGTGTGTTCTTAACTAATTTCAAACGGCCAGAATTCAAAAAAATTCCACATTTTATCAGGAACATGAACCCGTTGGATTTTAATGTCCAGTGCCAAATAAAAGAGTTTCCCTTCCGGTATGTCCGGAACAGGAACTATAATATTTCTCTCTCGGAAACACATTGAAATAATGAGATTGAAATGGGGGTCTGGTATTTCCGGTTTTGCCGGATTTCACCATTTTGATTTGGGCATTTATGTGCGTTTGTAACTTAAACATCGGGTTTTACATCTAGTTGATATGACGGTGTTTGAATGATAATAAAAATTACACCCTCTATGCACGCATATATATTTTTTGATTTTATCTTGAATGCTTGCATGTTAATCTGCCACAAACTCATTATATTAGAAAAAAACTACATATTTCCCACTAGTTTATCATGAAACAGCCCGGCCTTCTCTGCAGTTTTTCTGGCTGTTTTTTGAACTTGTTTCACATACAAGGTGATTGGTTAAATGTGGGAAATCCAGAACGGTGGCCTTTGGAGCAAGCATGCCATTTTTCAATTTAAATTTTTTTGTCTTTAATAATGTTTGTGTTGCTCATAATTTTGCGACAAATTTTGCCAACCTAAATGTCGGTTTGGAATTGATAAGTTTTGACCCTGTGCGTGTAACATCACAAAGTAATTTTCTCAAAATGTCGTTAATTTTACATCACTTTCTGCTCACACACTCGAGCAATGCATCGAACTCATTGAAACAGTTGCTAGAAGTTTCAAATCTGAATTAACAGACATTTACGGGACATTTTAAGCGTTTTTTGAGCGCTGACGATCTTTAGCCGACGATTTCTTTCTTATTATTGACCCAAATACTTTATACATGCACATTTGTGACCTTCTAAAGTCAAAAGGAATCGATTGAGCTCAAAAACACGCAGGTGAAATTCTGATTTTTGGTCAACATTTTTCCAAGGGTTGAGATTGATTTTTTGAAAAAATAAAAATGTTCTCAAAATGTCTTTAATTTTACATCATTTTCTGTTCACGCACGTGAGGAATGCATCGAACTCATTGAAAAACATGCTAAAAGTTTCAGATCCGAAATAATAAACATTTTCAGCACATTTTAATCGTTTTTTGAGGGTTCACGATCTTTAGCCGACAATTTCTTCCTTATTATTGACCCAAATAGTTTATAAATTTATATTTGTGACCTTCTCACGTCAAAAGAAATCGATTGAGCTGAAAAAACACGCAAGTAAAATTTTGATTTTTGCCCAAAATTTTTCTAAGGGCGGGGGTCGATTTTTTGAAAAAATTAAAATTTCCTCAAAATGTCTTAAATTTTACATAATTTTCAGCTCACGGACGCGAGGTATGCATCAGACCCATTGAAAGACTTGCTAAAAGTTTCAACTGTATTTTCAATTTGTTCAAGAAAAAAAAAACGATTATGAAACATAAAAGGGAATTGATACTTAATGACTGACAAAGTTAAGAAGGAACTGAAACTTTTAATAGAATAGAAAGTTTCGTAGCAGTAACATCTGCTTCTTGAGAAGTTGATTTCTTTAAATTGTATCTGAATTTGTCCTTCTCATTTTTATTTTCTTTTCCAGAATAAACTGCATTTTTCTAGTTGATTAACATTTGCTATTTTCCATTTGGCAATAGAAAACAACAGCTAAAAAATCTTGCAAATACCTTTCCAATCTTCCAATTAATTTTGTTCCAAAGATTCTAATTCAACTACAATTTTACTTTTAGAATTATTTGACCTGAAAACTCACCAGGACGAAATGTTAAAACATGCTTCAAGTTTGAATATGTAGCAAAAGTTTTCAAACACTTGTTACATTCATCTGTAATCTTACACAACTTTATAGGAGCAAATTCATTTACTCAATATAAAATATAACATGCCACAGTGAAACTTTTCGGCATGACTAAAATAAAAAACGTTTTGTCGCAAACAGCACAGAATGTTACCATAAAACATTACACGAGTCAACATCTGCTCTCTCCGTAGACACGAGTGTGGGAGCGTTATTTCTTGGCCATCCAGAAGTCCGGACTTCAATCCTGTGGATTTTTCTGCTTTGATCTCAAATGAAACGTAAAGTTTTCAAAAAAGGTGGTTTGCAACAAGAATTGTGACAAGTAATACAAGTCGCTGGCATGAATCACCCTGTATACAGCACCCTTTTAACACCTTCTGGAATACACTTTTCACTTTTAGTAAGAGAATGAATGGGAAAGTTGGGGAGATGACTGCGCTATCATGGTAGATTAGCTGAGTGAAAATGCCAACCCCCAGTCTTGAATATCGACGCTCTTACAGATGCCTCTCTGAAGCCGTTCACTTAATTGGCTCATTGAGTCTCTTGTGCTGCGTATATTGTCAATGTCACGACTCGCTTTGTCTCAAGTAGGATTTGTTAGCCACTTCTCGCTCTAACCACCCTTTGCCTACCGCCCAGTCTGTCTGGACTGGCGAGAAAATAATTTGTTTAAAATTGTAAAACCCCATGAATCATTTCTTGTTGAAGCAGGTGATTTTTTTACCGGTAATCGCGACTTCATCTCTTTCACTCGACAACCGCAGAGAAACTAATTCCACTGTAGCTTAGGAAAGCTAATTAAGTAACAAATTAGGCTCTCCGGCCGTAGTTTTCCGATTTCCAGATACAGTTAGGGATAACGAATTAGTCCGGAGCACGCGGACACGCAAAGGTGTTGGAAAAATATACAGTCTTCATATGTCACTGTCCCGTTTTAGAGTGCCCGTTTGTTTAATTGAAAAATCGGTCGGCGCTTAAACATTTTCGATAAGAACAACGCGATAAATCCCGTCAATCAACAGAATAACCGGCCTTATCGGGCAATAATTCAACCGTTGCAAAATTTTCGACAAATAAACTGACAAATATTTGCGTATTATTCTCATTAATGGAAGTGAAGCGCCTTTGAAATCCCCCAAATCCCGTCTGAAGAGCGGCCCGCAGAATTCTGATTAAATCACCCCGGATTTCTTGAGAAAGCCGGGGCGCGCACAAACATCAACTCTTTTGGGGATTATACCTTTTGCTTCCTTTCAATCGAAGCTGAATGGCATAATTGGATGTTTACCCGAATGTTGATTTCTAGGTGGATACTCCGGATAGTGTTCTTCAATCTGGACTCGGATTGGCCGATTTGGGTCAGCACGCCGTATTACGTTCCATGGTTGATCCTCTCGACTACGATCGGCTTCGTCATCTACAAATGAATGGAGGCGCCCCGACATCATTTGAGGAAACCATTTATAAGGTGAGCTCCATTATCTTTCATATACTTTTTATGTATTGCGTTTATTCCCATCTAAAATTTAAAGCACATTTTTCCATTCCTTTCACTTCAAAAAAATCCTTAATTTCCACAATCTGAAGCTGGCCTTTGCCGATTCAACCAACACAGACCTCACCTTTGCCAGGCTAAGAATCCCTAAGGAACACACATTGCATGGCCGCAACAAGACAAGACTTTTTCCTGGATCGGCTCCATAAACCCACTGTTCAATCCTCAGGGTCGTAAAACTAACCGTAATAAAACCTGCCAGCGAAATCTTCAAGTCCACGGGGACAAGCCGAATTTGGGCCCCCCTTAGCTGGACTCAGCGACAAGCTGATTTAAGTGCACCTTATTGACTGTTTGCATAGAGCATCTTGATTCAATTGCATGAAATCTCGGGATATTTGCCTATAGGCGGAAGTGCTGAGGTTGTGGGCTTTGTTCAATTGTTGAGGGATTTTGCGCTGCTCGATGATTGACTAAAGGGCGAGTTTATTTTACTTGGTGCTGCCCAAGTCTGATTCGAACTGATCAGTCACGTGGCCCATTTGTTGGGTTTCGGTGTTTCCCTATGGCCACTTAAAATTCCCCAGACGATCGTTCGGAATCACGAGGTCTCGTAAAAGTTTATCCACTTCCACGTCGGCTAAATAGGTCTCTGTCTCGATCCACGTTTCGGGAAAAAATGACGAAAAAATTGCCTCGCATTTTTCACTCTTGAATATCGCCTCGACTCCGTTATACATTTATACTGGGTGTACTAAATTGCAATTGATCTCTTGAGCAGCCGGGTTTCAATAGATAAAGAATGTCCATCATCTATTCAAGTAACAGGAAGACACTCACTCACTGCACATTTTACACCCACTATGCAACAAATAATCAAACAATTTGTTGACATAATTATGCTATTAATGCCTGCGGTATATTCTCTTTGGACAAAAAATTGCAATTCAAACCAAACAACAAATTTAGCCTCTAAAGATTTTCGTTTGCTTTCTTTGGCCACTTTCAACAAAACTGCTTACAAACTGAATATTATTATTTATCCATTCTCATCCTTGATCGCTGCACGATTAATAATCCAACCAAAAGTAAAGCAAACTATTCTCAATAATCTTATTTTCGCCTAAAGCATCTCAAGCTTACACATTGCCGACTTCGGAACGAATATATTAAAGTTGTTCATAACTCAATCGAGTACGATGCCCCTTTTCCTATATCTGAACTGAGCCAAGTTTGAAAAAGGAATTAATTTTAGTCAAAACGCCCGCCGCTAATTTCGCCTGATAAATGTTCTCCGGCATTTTCCAAGTTTTTTCACTTGTGTTTCAGCTCAAGGTCCAGGAGGCGATGCGAAAACGAGAGAAATTCACCAAGGAGCACGAAGAGGTAAGATGAAAAATCAGCGAGTTTTGAATGTCAGAGATCAAGCAATTGAGTAAACTCGTCTATAATTAAAAAAATCGCTTAATTTTTGAACAAATAGTTATAAGGGGTCGCAATAGGAGAAAAACCTTTGGTGTTCGCCCGCAATCTTCTATCACCTTGTCTCTTTAACTGGGTGGATGTTTGGTGTAGCCGGTTATATTGGAATAGCAGAGAATAGTTCGATCAACGCCAGTTGATTTCATTTTGCAGAATTTATATTAGAATTTTTCAAAAACTTTCGAATTTTGCATTATTATCATCTTAAGGAAGCGACAAATCCAGTGAAAAACAGGGTAGAAGCTTCAGATCCGAAATCATCGATTTTGTCTGTCCATTTCAAGCGGTTCTTGCTCATTCACGATCTTTAACTGACGATATTTTACTTATTGTAGACCCAGACACTTTATTTATGCACACTTCTTACGTCGATAATAATTAATTGAGCTAAGAAAACAAGCATGTAAAATTTTGATTGGTGACCAAGAATTTTATAAGGCGGTCGATTTTTTGAAAAAAATATTAATTATCTAAAAAGGTTTCAAATTCTACATCATTATCTTCTCAAGAATACAAGAAATTCGACAAACCCATTGAAAATCACCATATAAGCTTCAGATCAGAAATAATCGACATTTTATGCACATTTCGCTTTCTGAGCGTTCATGATCTCTAACCGATCATATCTTCCTTATTACAGATCAAGATAATTTATATATGCACATTAGAGAGCTTAAAAAAAACGTCGAAATAAATCCATTGAACTCAAAAAACCCGCAAAGATTTTTTTTAACCGTAAAAGGAGTCGAGTTTTTTCAAAAAAACATAAATTTTTTGAAAACTTTCGAAATTCTACATCATCCTCTTCTCTAGGACGCACGAAATCCAACGAACTCAGTGAAAAACACACTAGAAGCTTCAGGTGCAAAATAATCTAAATTTTTTGACCATTTTAGCGGTTTCTGAGCATTCATGATCTTTAACCGACAATAGCTTCCTTGCCATCGAAACATGTTATTTAACCATATTAAGGAGGTTCATACGTCGGAAGCAATCCATTGAGCTCAAAAATCACGCATGTGAAAATATTCTTGAACCTTCAGCTACTCTCGATCTATAAGCTTTAAGTTCATATAAGCGGTTATTTGCTGGCACATTTACATCTTCCAAAGCAATGAATCTCGTTGGAAGCGCAACTATAAAAACTAAGAAAGAAAAACGGCAACCCCCAGAAAATTTACGAGCCAAATAAGCAATTGCAATTATTCCGGAGCAGTTTTCCTCTAAATAACTAATGAATTCTACTGGTTTTATTCGAATAAAGCGCGGTCGATTTTATGACTCGACACCTTTGCCTCAGAACATCGATTATACGCAATTGTTTTCCAGATCTTGAGGGACATTAAACAGGGTTTACTACAATTAGGCAAAGAGGGCATCAGAGGGCCCATGACGGCAGCTGGTGAGTTCACTGGGATTTCAATCTCTTCGAAACTGTACATTGAATGTTTGCAGATGATACCTACATGTATGACGACGACGTGCGAATGCTGACACCAGCTGGGGTTTCTCATCCCCACGATCTGCGTTTGGGCCATTGGTACGATGAGCCGCCCTATGAAAGTGACCCAGAAGATTTTTTAATGGGGGGAGGAGGGCAGGCCACCATACAGGTAAGGGTGAGTTTGATGTTTATGTAGGATGCCCATTTGAAGGCTCGGGGGGTTTTGCAGAATGGACGAGTCTGTTTCACGCTAAACGTACGTCCGGAGCAAAAACATGGCGAGGGAGTAATATCTTTGCGAAGTGCCGGTGACATCTCTTTGCCTACCGCACATTGTCAGACGCCCCGAAGAGGTCTGATTTTGCCTCGGGAAGCTGGCTATCCACCCACGATTATACCACTTAGGTACGTGCAAACTCAGAGCCACCAAAGCTGGCTAATTCCTTCGCTTCCAGGTCTTCCAAAGAGCGAGAAAGTGGAGATTATGCCAGTTCGGATGTTCAAAGCGTCAGCTCCAGGTTGTCCACCCTGTCAATGGACACTAGCCGATCGGAATTGCTCGAGATGACTAGCATGATTTCTCCCCAGTACTATATACCGCTAGAAGGCAGCAAGAATAAGCACTTTAGGTAGCGATTTCGAACAGTACTTTAACCGTTGAAGACACAATAACTGGGCAAATTGAATTTCCAGAAGAAGCCACAACTACCCCAGAAGTGAAGACGGGCTGTCGCCTAGCCAAAGCTCCGACTACGAAGATCAGGAGGAGTTCAGCAACTGCAGCCAGCAGCAAATAGCAACCGTCCACGTGGTAAACAGCTGTTGTTTAATACAAACGCAAATTAACCCCATTATTTCCAGTCTAGTGACGGAAGAGCTTCCGGAGTGGCCAGCTTGGTGGGCAAAGTGCGAGGCCTTCGGGAAGACGTGCAGAGGAAAATCTCGCGACTCAAGGGAGAAGATCAGCGGATCAACCAGGAGCAAACGCTCACATTTTCCGCCAGTTCTGTGGAAAGTTTGCCCAGCGGCTCAGGATCTAGTAAGTGCCAGACCCTGGTAAAGCCCTGGTTGGTTTAATGGGGATTTTGTGCAGGCACGCAGGCTTTGGTGAGAGCGGGCAGCAACCACAGCTCAATATCAACCGAAGAGGTTGATCCTAGTCCGACTGAGCAAATAATAGGTCGCGCTCGGGCTTTGGTGGACCAAATTCCAAGCCCATTCGATAAGGAGAGTTTAAAATTTAAGGTAACGGGCGTAGATTTCAAGGTTTCGTGTGCAATTGAAGTTGAATATTTTTACAATTTTCAGGCTGGTGATATAATAGATATAGTTTCCATGAACCCGACCGGACAAGGTAAAGGGATCTCGCAGGGTAAGAAGGGGACGTTCAAGTACATGAACGTGGAGCTGGTGAGCGAACGAACAGTGAAAGTGAAGAAGGACACCAAATGGTATCGGATCTTCAAAGGACGGCCGATTTCCGTGGAAGATCTGCTGCAGAAGATCGGCCTCTCCGAGTACATTTCCGTGTTCATCCTCAACGGCTATGAAGACTTGGAGCTCTTCAAGGAGATCGAGCCTTCGGACATGGACTATTTGGGGATCGTCAATGGGGACCATCGGGCGAAGATCTTGACAGCCGTGCAGCTGCTCCATGAACTGGATTGTACGGGCTCTAAATCATCCCTTGACTTGCGATTGATATATGGAACATTTCCAGCTGGAAGCGACGCAGATATTGCGGGATCCAGTAGCGAAAACGACGACCAGCGGCAGCGTCGTACCCCATTCAACCGGCGTCATTTGTCCAGAGACTCTGGCTGCTATGACGGGCATAAAAGAACGCACGCGTCCCCCCAATCGGACGCCAGCGACCATGGGGATAAAAACAACCTGGACTCGGTAGTGGAGCAATGTAACAACGAAATTCTGGCTAGGGTAGGTGCGTTGTATCCTCACCAACTCCAGCGAAGAGTATTCCCGGTGATAATCCTCGGATGGCTTTCAGGTTCGACAGGCACAACAAAGCCAAACGAAAGGCGAGTCTGTGTACGACTTGAACATTCCCCCTTTGGAGCGCAAGGCAAGAGACTCGTATGTAACGATGCACGGCCAAACCTCTTTGCTCGATCCCTCCAAGAAGAGTATGCCGAATAGGAAGGTGCCGGGCGAGGAGTTTTGTGAAACTGATCCGAAGTTCTCTTCTGGTAAATCTTGTTCCTTAGCTAATTGAATCAATTCCGACTTTTGGATGCAATTGGGGAATTTTTGTGAAAGGACACAGGCGTCAACTATCAAAGAGATCGAACTGAAATTGCACCAAAAAAGACAAATTCGGCAATGCAACACTGACTACAAGTTGGCTCTTTAAGGGGCTCATATGCACTCATTCCTGACGGAAAATTGTACCATAAAATACAGCCTTGTTGACTAGTTGCAACATTTTCGGCATATTTTAAGGGTATTTTGAGCGTTCACGATTTTTAGCCGACGATTTCTTCCTTATCATTGACTCAAACACTTTATAAATTCATATTTGTGACCTTCTTACGTCGAAAGGAATCGATTGAGCTCAAAAAATACGCATGTGAAATTTTGATTTTTGTTCAAAATTTTTCCAAGGGTGGGGGAAGCTTTTTTGAAAAAATGAAAATTTTCTCAGTGGAATCTATAATCATCACAATCAGTAATCAGTAGACAAGACAAGTATTTTGAGCACTTTCGTTCGTGCGGTTTATAACGTAAAGTCTGCCATATGAGATTAAATGTTAAGTCAAATTAAATCCTGGGTTGCAGTCATTTATTCTCTATTTATCAATCAAAATACGTTTCGGTGTATTTTTCCACCATCATCAGTTTTTCTAAAATAACAGATAGTTAAAAAAATTTGTCATTAATTTAAAAAACAACCACAGTTCGTCAACAGCCTCATCATATCACACATTAAAATACATCACAATTGCAATATTTTAAAACATTCTGAAATTAATTAGGCCTAACAGGTGATTAGTCAGGACAATCAAATTTTTATTTCAGATCTGAACGAAGAATTCTAGTCTCTTCTCAAATTTGATTGTCCTGACTAATCACCTGTTAGGCCTAATTAATTTTAGAATGTTTTAAAGTATTGCAATTGTGATGTATTTCAATGTGTGATATGATGAGGCTGTTGACGAACAGTGGTTGTTTTTTAAATTAATGACAAATTTTTTTAACTCTGTTATTTTAGAAAAACTGATGATGGTGGAAAAATACACCGAAACGTATTTTGATTGATAAATAGAGACAATAAATGAAACCCAGGAATTAATTTGATTTGGAATGGAAACACAGTCAGGAAAGTATCTACAATTAAATGTTAAGTGTTGTTCAAAGTGCCGCGTCGTAAGAAGCCAGGTGTTGCGGCACATGGACACACAGAGCGGCATTAACACCCAAGTGTCTTAAGACACAGTATTACCCAGTCCTACTTTTAGGTAGTTGATCGACTTTTTGGTGCGATAATTACCATGTTATGTTTATACAAGTAAAACAAAGAAAGTTTCAACCCGCAATTTAAAGAGTTCGGAGCCGCTTGATTGATACTGTTCACACACAATGTAAATATGAAATTTTGTTTCAACGCAAGTTCAAAATACTGCTAGAGAAATCGGAAAGTTCCGATTAAACAAATTGTAGTCCCGCCTGTTTGATCACATTTTGCGCCCAAATATCGTTAGTAAGAAAGTTATGTTAAAAGCAAAACCCAACAATTCTGAAGTGGAACATTTTTTGCAATTCTCAAAAAAACAGTTATATTGTTTTTTTAATTGCAGTGAAATACATTGCAAACTCGGACATACCTGACTCAACTTCCTTGAATATCCTGGGCAAAAGTTGCTTGAGCGAAAAATCGAGCGACAGCGGCGTCAGCAGCAGTTCGTTGTCTTCCACATTGAAGGAGAGGGATAATCGGCCAATTGGAGGCTTTCAACACTTGGAACGAAGCAATAACTGTGCCAACACGTCCACTACTGCCAATAAACGAACATAATCAAAAACATGCGCTAGGGAAATTTATGAGTTATTTTTAGGGTAGGAGGTGCACTCGATCCTGTGGCTTCAATCCCATGCCGAATGGATGAGATTGGAGAGTATGGTTGAAGCCACTAGATGAGAGGCATGCAATTCTTTTTATTATTCAAAGTAACTCTAAATTAATAAATGTTTAAATAAACAATTCGTGATAGAACAAAGAATACAATAATTGCGCCTAAAATGCTTTCTTCTTTTGCTGTTTAGATTCAATCAGAATTGAGAATAATAAGGCCTTTTTTCGTACGGAATGAGTAAAATGGTCCAGCCAGCAAATATAAAGAAAGCAATTTGCGTACAAAAAAAAACGTATTTCTGTAGATAAGATGTAAACTGATGTGTATATTATGTAAAAAGAATATTTTATGGCTAGTCCTTGTTCTAATTGATTTGTGTAAAAATTCAAAATTTCGCTGTGTACCTACAGAATGTGCTTTTCGGTACTTTTTATTCGAAATCTTCTAGTTCACTGCGCGACGTCCTTAGAAAACTGTTAGTATACAGACTGAACAAATCGTTTTTTACGTTCGTTTATGTTTAACTGATTCAAAACCCCATTAGTTCACACCTTTTTGCAGGGTTGCTGAATTATTTAAAGTTTTTCCGAGTTTTGTTTTGTAAAGTAGCCTTCAGTATTAATTGAGCAGCTCTGTTGGGGGCAGGGCAGTCAAACTGCAGTAAGATCGCTAAATGTCAGTCAATAAACAATTTAGATGGTTTAAAAAATAATAAATCATGCATATAGAGTAGAGTTTTATTGCGAAGAAAAAAGTTCCTCCTAGGTAGTGATTTCACCTTTTTGGAAATGGAACGATCAAAGACACAGGATGAAGCAGCATCCATTTATTGTAACGGTAGACGAAAAACATATCCATACTTTTTACGAAAATAGTGAGAAAATATCAACGGAATTTTGATCTGTGGAAAAAGTTTTTTAAAATTGCTGACGTTTTGTCATATTTATTCGGGCATCCTCAGTAAAATGCCTGAATAGATATGGCGAAACGTTGGCCATTTTAGAAGGAAGGCGCTTGTTTTTATACCCTTCCATATTGTGTGATTAAAGTAGACTCCATTACGAAATGGAGCGTAAAAACCAGCATTCTTAATAGCGTCCAGTTATTCGGGTATTCCAAAAATCCCGACATTCTGGCAATCAGGGGCGGATCCAGCTTTAAATTCAGGGGGGGTTATGTAGAAAAAACATAGTCTTTTGTTGTCTATGAACTAAGAAAAATTATCGTCGTTTTGTGCAAGGGTGGCGTAAGATTATTGCAAAATTTCATGTTTTCCGTCTCGTTTGCATGTTTCTCGGAAGCAAAATGAGCAAGAACGCTCATTTTTACATCATTCCAAAGAGAACTAAATGGCCTTTTTAGAAAGTGAACTATCGATAAGGAAATGTTGCAGTTTTCTCAAAAAATGGTTGATTTCAATTAGATTTGTGTGGTTTTTTTTTTGAGTTGCAAAATCCACTTGGACATGACGCTGCTTTTTTCGAAGTTTCTCAAGAACCATTCGAGCCACAGAATTCGTTTTGGCATCGTTGGATAGAGAATTGAAAAGTCGATTCAG